AAAGAAACATCCCCCCCTTTCCCCGTGAAGCGGGGTGGGGGATGCTTTTCAGCCACTCTGTGGGAAAGTGGCACCCCAAAGAATCCTTTCCTCCCCCTCTGCACCCCCAGACACGTGGCAGAAGCAAGAGGGGCGGGCTTTTTGGCAGGGGGAGGCCCCTCCACTTCCTGCCGTGGAAGACAAATGGGCCTGAACCCACGGACTAAGTGTTGTGGTGGTGGGGGGCCTGCTGTGCGGCAGAGACTGCAAGGAGCAGGGCAGGTTGGGGGGGGCGGGGAGGGAGAAAGAGGCAGACGAGCCCAGGAGACAGAAAGGCAACATTTCAGAGTGGCTGCCTAGATTCACTCCCTGTAAGTGTATTTGGAAATCTGTTTGCAGCTTCAATATTTTTATCCTGACTGGAATTGAAAGGCACTTTTCGAAGCACCCGTGGTTCCAGCTGCTTGGATTTGCCAACAATCTGGGATTTCAGGAAGAGCCTCACCCCCACCCCTAAATGCACCTTTGCACAGGTTGTGCAGGTAGAAGTGAAAAGGAAGGACAGTGGCCACTCTGCAAGGGTGAAGACTGACAGGCAGCTGTCTTGCCTTCAGCAGTAGGTGGGTGGGTGGGGGCTGCTGCCAGGCCAAGCAGGTCCTGTGGAAGAGCCCTAAGGCAGGCAACCGGCGGCCAGTCCGTGAGAGAGCTGCCCTGGGTGCCTTCTTGTAAATAGGCCCCATCCTGTTGTGCCCTTACGGTGTGGGACATCTTGGGGAACTCCGAAAACTTGGTTGGGATGTCAGTTAAGCGAGGAAAGGGGAAAGGTTGGGGTGTGTGTGTGTGATCAGTGAAGGACAACAGGAAAGGCTCAGGGGAGGGAGCCTGAAAGGCACTGCCAACCCACCAGGTCATCGTCTACCAAACCCAGTTTGTCCTTGCCCTGCAGCCAAGATCTTGGCAACCCCAGGAAGGTTGCTGAAGTTCTGCTTGGTGTTCGATAACACCGCAGATTCTGCCCCTAAGTAGGGCGGGGAGGGAGTCCTGTGGCTACGCTGAGCTGAACGGCTAAAAGCTTGCTTGGCACAGGAAAGGTAGTTCTGTTTAGAGTGCCAGCCTGGCAAAGGCCCAAGGCTGAAACTTGGCTTCCAACTGTCTGAGCAGTTGTGGTGGAAGCAAGGAGCCAAGAGGGGGCGGATTATTCGGGCATCTGTCATCGGCTTCCAAAAAAACAGCTCTTTGGGGAGGGTTGAGCTTTTAGCGTGGTGAGCCAAGGCCTCGGCTCCTCCAGGGCATCCAAACAAGCACTGGGAGTGCCCACAGCTGGTGCTTGGCACGAAGCCACTTTCTCCTGGACCTTCTGCTTTTCCCCGAGTTTCTACTGCCACCTCCAAGGGCTGCTCAAAAGAGCATCTGATAACCTCCTTCATGGAACTTATGGGCAGAGAAGTTAAATCTTTTTTTTTTAATAAATATTTTATTACACAAAAAACACTTAAAAACAATGAACGTAATGAAGACGGCTTGACATAACTTTTGGTCAGTATTGCACAAACATATATTTCCCTATATACAGTTGTTCATCTATACATTTGTTTGCTCATATATTACATTTTCCAGAATCATTGGTCCTATTTTCCTCTCA